GCTGTCTGAGTGAGGTTACCGGAGGCTCAATCCTTCCCCTCTCCCAATCCAACCTCAATCCCTAAATCTCCAAATCCCTAAAAGGTCGGCAATGCACTCGTAACTCCGCGGTTGCGGGTGTCCATGGGCGGCGCTGATTGCTTACCATCAGGTAATTACTACTATTACATAAAAAAAAATATTGTGAAATATTGCATAATATGAATGAAATTATGACTCTAGTGTGTCACGATTCACAAACAATTTTGACTGATTTGCATACACATGGTGATATGTGAACACGGTATTATAGGGGATGTAAGTAGGGACGAGGGTGGCCACCCACTGTGCACTAACATCGATTAAGTAACTCTGAGCTTTACAAATAGAAACAGCCAATTTCCAATTAAAATCTCAGTAGGTGGTCCAGCTTGAGGGCAGTTCTAGAAAAATAGATTGCCCCGATCCATTATGCCGCGGTGGTTCGCTTTGCAGCATCGGGTAGAGAATTAAAAGAAAAGATACCTTATAATAACGTTGTCAAATTAAATATCCTATATCCTATCGTTAGCTTGAGTGGTTTTTGTTTTCTATTTTGAGTTTTTAGATTGAATCGTAGATATTGTGTACATGAATATTAAAAAAAAAATGAGCCTTAATGTTCGTTTTATGGGAGAATTGGGTAGTTTCCTTGGTCAAAAATAAAGTCATTCGACGTTTCAATACAATAAAATATTGAAAAAAACTACACTTTTATTCATCGATCGATCGATACACTAAGTTTTAGTTTTTTTTAGCTAATTAGCCATAACTCAGTTTTTCATACAAGAATATGATATACAACATAGAAAAGTATCGTTTTTGACGTTTGGATTAAAGTTTTGAATTTGACTAGTTGGAAACTACCGTATTATCTCGCTCTAGGCGGGGTAAGAGAGAGTGTCAGACTCTTACTGACTAACAGGAACAGTAAGATAACCACTGAGAATGCAGAAATCATTCTCAGTTTTAGAAACATCATTTGGAAGCTTAATAGCTTAATATTCAAACAAAATTATTTCTGTCTCCTTTAGGTATCACCAGAATTTCCTAACTCGTATCAAAAATCCTTTCATACATTTTCGAACGTCATTTTAAAATTCGTCTTATTCTTTTTTTAATTCTGTGCGGTCTATAAAAGCAACTATGTAAGTAGTTTCTATGTAAGAAAATATTAAAGTCAAATCAAAATGTTAATAAACACCACCAATTTTTTCTTTTTTTTTTCTTTTTTAAGGGTAATCTAGAAAATCTAGATTCTTGGCTGTAACGAGAGCGAGTGTCTAGAAGCCACTCAGTTCCTTCTCCTGCTTCAGACCTTGTAACGTTTTATCAATCCACATAAATCTAGCTTGACAACAAAAGTAATCTCTGTAATTGTAGATGTACTTATAAATTAATATTGCCTGGCCTCACAACCTTAAGCTGCTAGCCAATGTAAACTAAACTATGTACAACTAAATAGGTACACAAAGTGGCGTTAAGAGTTAGTGCGAGATGTCAAGCGTTGTGAAGAGTAGGCGCCGGTGGAGGCACGCAGTACCTATCTCTAGTAGCTAAGACAACAGCTGATAATACTACAAACAAACGCATTTGTGACCTAAATATATCTAATATTTCCAGATAAACTGCCGGGTGATACATTTTTTTTGGATTTTTATGGAAACATTTTGGAGAACAATCGATTTTCAATTCACTTGCAGTAGGACAGAAATGTCATTAAACGTCATTGTCAAAATCAAGTTGGTACCTATGACAACATGGTAGGCTCCTTTACTATAAGCAACTTCTGGAGGAGTCATTGCTAAACTTCTGTCGTAATTTCTTAGTCATTTTAGTTATGTAATTTAAATTGATTTTAGAATTGAAAACCATCCCTGTTTAAAAATATTTGAGTAAAAAATAGATTTTATCACGTCACGTACGTTATCTAAATATTAGATACATTGACTTCAACAAGTAGGTATCTAGGTAAATGAAATATTTTTTGCTGCATTAATAGTACCTAACATTAAAATGACTATGAACTCACCTTTTTGGTTTCCATCGTTTCATAAATACTCCAAACATGGTATTTTTATCCTCGAAAAATCACAACAAAAACAAATCACAACACAATTTTTATCGTTAAGCAGTCAAAGACTTCCCCCGAATCAATACATAACAATCACACGTCAAATTATTGCACTGAACGATAAGATATACACCACAACACGAATATTGTTTATTTGACCTAGACACACTGACAGACAACTGAGAACACTGTCCTACATTGAAAAATCGATATTATTCAACAAATTTAACATCCCATAGTAAAGTTACGAAATAGACGATATTTTATTTATTTGCTAAAACATTGTAACATCGGCATTGTAGCTCATTTAGATGTAAATAACGACACACGCGCCACGTTCGTCACTCAGTCTTAGCGCAACTGAGTCATTTCACTCGGCTTCGACTCGAGCAAGTAACTAGACGAGTGCCGGTACGCGACAGCGTCAGGTGCGGTCGATCAGCTGCTCGCTCGTCGCCATCTTGCTTTTAATTTTAACGCCATCTCGTGGTGACCTTTCAACTTCGAATTACCTTATACAGAGAATTATTCTACTAAAATAACTTTTTTTATGTACTAATTTAAGTTTTATAATCTCAATGTTGATTTTTAAGCTCTGAAAGACCTAATACAGAAGGCAGTTCTGAAAACTTTCTGTCACTGGAGCCCTAAACGCTGCTCTTTTGGCATTACTATTTTATTATCGAAAAAGTAACTTTAGGGTTGTTTTCAGCCGGGGTTGCGGGGTAAGCGCAATGAGGTACCGCGACCTCGGCACAGAGCACGAGAAGGAACAGGGGGGTTTTTAGTCAGTAAGAGTCTGACACTCCCTCCCGCCCGGCCCTGGGCGGAAGAAGTCATTTGATGATTTTCCCCTCACAAAAAAGGGTTGTTTAAATAAATTAATAAATGATAGTAATACGCTGGCATTGAGGCGAGTTGACGGGTATTAACGATTCTGCAAGCTACCAGTATCTCGAGAGCTCAAGGGTAAAACCACTGTTTTTTACCCACAGCATGCTTTAATTTGCAGGGAAAAGTTTTAATAATTAGAATTGATACCAGCACGTCGATTCTATAAAATTTGTTTGATTTTGAATCTTGTTCGAGTGCGAAGTGAGCGTCGAAGTGACGGGGTTTTTAAATTTTAGAATGCCACTTTTTACGTCATCTCATACTTTATCTATCAAAATGTTGCTGTCAATTTAGTTCATCTCGCAAGTGTAGCGCTAATGTACTACTACTCACGGCGGATTCAGATTCGAAGTTTAGAATGAAGTCTTACAGAATCACACCCCAGGTTGACTTACGTGTTGCTTGACGGAGGTTAAGGTCGCACCCTCATACTTACTAGTTATAAATGGTTTTTTTTTTAGGGTCGGGCAGGAGGGTTTGTAAGACTGAGAGAGGAGAGACTGAGAGAAGGAACGGGGGTTTTTAGTCAGTAAGCGACCCGCTTACTGACTAAAAACCCCCGTTCCTTCTCCTGCTCTGGGCCGAGGTCGCGGTGCCCCACGCTTGCGCTTACCCCACAACCCTGGCCGATGAGGGTTTGGATTCGAAACTTGGCAAGTACCAATGTGACTTTTTCTATGTTGTGCCTGCGTATTTTTCCTAGTGTATTTAGACACCACTGAAGAATGGTGAAGCACAACATCAAGCGTGTGGAAACCTAGACTTAATTTATTACCTATCTATACTTATACAACGCTGAAAAAGTATAAAACAAGATTTTCAGAATACTGAAAGGCGTAGTCACACGTTATCAAAGTGCAGGTATGGTAAGTAAATGTAACGTGTGACTACGCCTTTCAGTATTCTGAAAATCTTGTTTTATACTTTTTCAGCGTTGGTCGTAGTTGGGTTTTAGTTTTTATACTTTTTATTATTTGTACTATTTTGGTGTTAAAGTGTACTTGTGGCGCATAACACTGGCTTCTTATGCTTTCAGAAACCACAAATAATTGCAACGTATTTCCGATTTTCCCAAGTCTAATGTGGTGGTGGGCCGGAGTTTAAGGAGCCCGCTTCTCATGCATGAGGGTTCGAAACCTGGCAAGTACCAATGTGACTTTTTCCTAGTTATATATGTACCTACTTTCTATGATTATTTACACAACACTGACATACGGTGAAGGTAAACATCGTCCGCTCTAACCTTATTCGTGTGAGAAGAGGCTTTTGCTAAGCAGTGGTCACTTATAGGCTGATGATGATGATGATGAAGATGATTTCCAAAGCCGTATGAAAAAAAAACACGATAGATTGTTATCACCAATATACACAATTATTTAGTTGGGAATCTATTTAGGACAGCCATTATTCATCACGAATATACCAGATCGATCGTTGTGATACCACGGCCTCCCAGAAAACCGGCGTGAAACAATGCTTGCGTTGTGTTTCGACGTAAAAGTGATCAGTGTACCAGGGCGTTCCTGATCCTGGGACTGCGGATGGCGAATTAGGGTTCTTCGCCCGACCAGATGCAGACCCAACGGACGGCGCGTAGCGTTCTGCGCTTGCCTCAAAGAGCCAATAGACCACCACAGACGGGGCCCTTTAGGGTTGAAGTTCAGCCGGGGATGAGGGTTAAGTGCAATGGGTCACCGCGGCCCCGGCCCAGAGTAGGTGAAGGAACAGGGTGGTTTTTAGTCAGTAAGAGTCTGATACTCTTTCTCGCCTTACCCTGGGCGGGAGAGGTCATTTTTTGATGATTTCGCCCTGACAAAGAAAAGGGCGTTAATCCTGCCATGATCCGTCTCGTTTACCTAAATGTTTTTGTAGGTATATGCTAAAACTTATGAAAATGACAATGTCCTTGAATGTCGAATTTTTTTAATTGTTTTTTTTTTCACAATTTATTTGCTCGCTGTTGCATAGCAAGGACGCACAATATCCTGTAGGCTCTTTATATTTTATATGAAAATTATGATGGTAACTGGACCTCATCAATAGTACTGTCTTCAATGTTGTCTGTCGTAGTATAGGTATGATCGGTAGTTGTTTCGACAATATCAGCAGCAATTAAACTATCATTAGTATCTAATTCAGTAACTATTGGTGTTGGTGTTGTTGTTGTTGTTTTTGGTGGTGGTGGTGTTGTGGTTGTTGTTGTTGGTGGTGGTGTTTTTGTGGTGGTTGTTGTTGTTGTTGTTGTTGTTGTTGTTGGTGGTGGTGGTGTTGTTGTTGTTGTAGTTGTTATTAGTGTTGTTGGTGGTGTTGTTGTAGTTGTTGTTGTTGGAGCTGTGGTTCGTGTTGTTGGTGTTGGTGTTGTAGTAGTAGTCGTTGTTGTTGTTGTTGTTTTTGTTGTTTTATTTGCTACTGCTTCTTCAATAATGTATTTCAATAAGTCGTTTATGTCCTGTAACCTTTCATTTACTTCGAAACTGTCGTAGTTAGAGTCGTATTCATCCTCTGCGTGACATTTCTCGATACATTCTGCTTTGGTGTCAAACTTGTTATATGTTGCACAGCCTCCCCATTCTGCTTGGATACAATAGCCATCCACGTGCGTGTATACAATCTGCGTCTTATCATTACATTGGCCTTTGTTGAGTGATAATGTGCATTCTGAAACAGTATTAATAATGATGTTAATATCGGCAGGTTGGAGAGAGCTGTTGGGCAGTGGCGACTCATCTCCGGCCTCCAGTCAGTCCTTGGGACTAGCTGGAGTGAACACAAGCACTTCCACCTGGTTCTTGCCTTAATTGGCTGTGTGTTTGTAATCTATATAATATCCGATGTTTTATAGCCTATAGCACTCAGGAACATTGTAGCTATCTATCAGTGAAAGACTTGGCCATCCGACCAGCGGTTCCAAAGAATACCCCCTACATACAAACTTACAAATTTTACCTCTTTATAATATTAGTATATAAGAATTTACATGTAAATTTACATTTAATTTACATGTGGTGGTGGCCCGGAGGTTAAGGAGCCCGCTTCTCATGCATGAGGGTGTGGGTTCGAAACCTGGCAAGTATCAATGTGACTTTTTCCGAGTTATATGTACTTTCTATGATTATTTAGACACCACTGACATACGGTGAAGGTAAACATCCTGAGGAAATCTGGACTTATAATTTCTAATTATAAGTTTGAAATCGCCAACCCGCATTGAGCAAGCGTGGTGATTAATGCTCAAACCTTCTCCGTGTGAGAAGAGGCCTTTGCTCAGCAGTGGGCACTTATAGGCTGATATGATGATGATGATGATGATGATGATGATGATGATATAAGAATTTATCGAAGAATGAGAGCTGAGCAGCGAGTGAACCCGCGCGAGAGTAGCTAGTGTCTCAATATGGTGATTGGTCATAATATGTACTATCCATCCACACTCATAGTCATATAATGTTCTGCCATAATGCACAATAGTCCTACATCAACCGTGGTTTGTCCAGCACTCAAGGATAATCCCCAGTTGATAAAGTACTTTCGTAGTACATACAGGGATAACTGCTGGCTGATGTTCCATTATCAGCTTCTTTATATTATAATTTTGTTTGAACAAAACTAGTTCATTTTTTTTATGTAATTATTCGGCAAACGAGCAGACGGATTACCTGATGGTTAGCAATCAGCGCCGCCCATGGAGGAGTTACGAGTGCGTTGCCGACCTTTTAGGGATTAGGGATTTGGAGATTTAGGGATTGGGGCAGGGGAAGGATTGGGCTTCCGGTAACCTCATTTTTGTTTTTTTTTTAGATAATATTAATCAAATATTTATTTAACCCCACTATACTTGTACACAAAAGAAAGGGGTCTTATTGTCGTGAATTATACCTGATGGGTACACATGGGTATATCTTTTACCATAAATACATATAATAAGTAGATGTATTATAATAAGCTATGACACTGTGAATGAGGACTTACCATCAATTGGTTGGGTTGGTTCAACCACTTTTCGGCTTCTAAAAATACAGTTCATGCTGCACTGGTACTCATTGTCAAATTTGTTGAGTGTCGGACAACCCCTCCAGACTTCGAGTTCACATCTTGAACCTGGTTTATAATAGGCGAAGACTTGCCGCGGCGGCAATTTGCAATCGCTGTGATTAAAGGGTGCTAGGCAATATTGCGGGGGCACTGTAATAAAAGAACAACATACTATTAAATATACAATTATGTTTTCTAACAAAAAAATACACGACGTGGCGTTGTTTTGAAATTATCCGTTTTGGATCATTTTTCCTAAATATTTTTAGAAGAAATAAACCCAACTGCCTCCACCCGCTATGGTTAAGCAAGATCATTCATGGGTAGGAGACCTTGTTAGAATTTTATTGGCTCACAAATAACTTGAACTTCTTCTCCGGGCCGGGCCTCAGAATTCTATTGGACGGGCATCGGTTCTTGTAGTATCCATCGGATGAGTGTTTGTATGTAAGCTTAGTCTGTTGCTGCGTCTGTTTCTGGTCTCGTGAGCTATCGTTGATCCCGTCCGCAGTCCGGCTAACGGCCGGAGATCGGAGCTTCTCCACCGGTGGGTCGAGATGGTATTCATTTCTTCCCATGCCCTACACCACTCTTTGCTAGCATTACTGCTTCGCAGATAGAGAGGAAACCTTCCCAACCATGCTTTTCTCAAAAGCTAATTTGCAAAATCACTTTATTTTCGAAACGATAAAGGGTTTGAAATTTAATGATGAGGAATTGATCATTGATCACATCGTTTGTCCTTTTTTTAACAACTTCTTCTTTGCAATGTTCTCACATATTTTATATAGGTACAATAATGTGTATGTTGTTAATAATGTATCTATTACCTATAACAACATAAAAAAAAAATGTAACGATGGATTTTTCAGCTCGTTCTTCTCCATTCGAATTTCCACTTTGGAAGGAAACGTAGCTTCCCTGACGTTCCAAAAGCACCTTTTTATGGTTTAGTTGGAATAAATTACTTTGACTTTGCTTTGAACCAAAGCTGGACGCTAGAGTCCTCGCAGTCGATCGCTTCCTTGAGGAAACGGAGGTGCTCAGCCAAAGCAGAGCATACAGCCACGGTATGGTTCATTGTAACCTCTCGATGGTCCTCACAGTGACATCTGGGCGTTTCGGTTAAGTTCTCCTGAATCACACGTCGCACTTGTGTCGGGCGGAGAGACGTTATAATGACCTCTCCTCAAAATGGGTTTCATCATTGTAACAGGAGCGAATCTGACCCTAGGTTATATGAAGTCATTGTTAAACTCCTCAGCGCGCAAACTAAATAGGGCGCTTGCCTCAAAGTCCAATGTCAGTAATCAGGCATGGAGTTAAACCCCTCGGAGATCCGGCGACCAAAAATCGAAAGTATGGTCCATGACAATCTGGGTCGCGCGAGCTGCTTAAAATTTGACGCCCACACAAAGGTCTTGTATATAATTTACTTCAATATTATTATGAAAAAAAAAACAAAGCCATCCCTTGTTTCTATATATAGGGGGTAAGTATAGTAGGTTTTCTTAAATAAAGTACACTTACCCGTCCATCCAATATGTAAGACATTTATTATAACAACCAGGTAGCTTGGTAAACACCGACTATAGCTCATGATGTCCGCATAATCTATGGCACTACTTCTCAAGTGGTTTCATTATATAACGTCGAATTAAATCCCAACTTATACCGCTTAATCAGTTTTAATTATGATTGAATGACAGATTTTGAATGATCCCATTAATTTCATTGCTTGAAATTAAAAAATGGCTGAACGATATTGCGCGAATCTTACTAATCTTACTGTAATATTATAAATGCGAAAGTTACGATGTTTGGATGTTTGTAACTCAATCTCACTCAAACCGCTAGACGGATCTGGATGAAATTTAGCACAGGCATGGATACACTCTAGAATAGGACATGGGCTGTTTATCAACACACCACGCGGGTGAAGCCGCGGGCGGAAGCTAGTAGGTAATAAGCAACAAATTGTCATCGTCGTCACTGTGAGGTTCCAATCGTTGCACGTCCTGGTAAGGCGAGTAATCATAGAGTTTCTTGCTCGTTCTTCTCCATAGGAATCTACACTTTGGAACGAACAAATAGCTTCACTAGAGGACAGACGGACAGACTGACACATATAAAGTTAAACATTTTGATATTTTTCTAGCTTGACGTTCAAAAGTGCCTGTTGTGGTCTACTTAAAATACAGAATTTGATGCGGTGAGCCTTAGCTACATTCTAACAATTTTTTTTTAATTTTTTTTTCATGTGGGACGGCGGACGTGTTTGCGGATTACCTGATGATGAGCAATCACATAGAAGTTACGAGTGCGTTGCGGACGTTTTGGGGATAAGGGATTTAGAGATTAAGGGATTTATCTATATAAGGGGTAACCTCACTGACATGGCGAAACACAACGCTGTGATTGTTTCACTGGACTTCTGTGAGACCGTGGTATCGCTCCGGTCGAGCCGAAGCAAACAAACTTGAAAATACCTTCATCTCTAACCCGTCTGCCAATTTGCCAAGCCCAGTAATTTATTGCGCCCGGCCAGGAGCAGGAGAAGGAACGGGGTGTTGTTTTTTAGTCAGTAAGAGTCTGACACACCCTGTCACCCCACCTAGGTTGGAAGAAGTCATCTTATGATTAAACCCCTCAAAATCAAACCGTCCGTCACGCGTGTAAATTCTAGCACTCCCCTCTTTATTTGGATAACTAGATGTGAATCAATTTATTGGTGTCGCTCGGATTTGCGAAATGGTAGGTATCGGATGGTGTCAAAGACAGCGTGCATGTTTCAGGCATTTTCATCGATATCGCGTCATGTAGATGTTTTGTTATAATTCATATTTATTGTAGAACTAGCGCCTTGCCCCTGCTTCGCACAGATGGCCTACTACCTCACTAAGGACAAAAGGGTCAATAATTCCTAGATTTCTCATCTGTCTACTTTTCTAAAATTTTCTTTCATTAAAACCTTCTTCTGCTGAACAAACACAACAAAAACGAAATAGCAAAATTGGTTATGCGCTTACCAACACATTTTGAGTTTCATTTTTATATTTTCCAAAGAAGTTCATAAAAACAGTAACTTTGTCATAGCGCTGCCATCTAGTAATGAAAACATTTACTATTACCGTTTGCGTCTTATAGATTAATTTGTGAGAGAAATAATAGATGGCGCAGGATAATATTTTGAAATGTGCCTTCATCAAGTCCTAAACTTTATTAAGTTCTCGTCTAAAATAATAATAAACGCTTTATACTATTTGATAATTAGGTACCTGAATGTTTTATAAACTTTAAGATTTTCAAATCAACCAACTGGTAATAAAAATACGAGTCACTGTCGTCTTTGTTTATTGGTTAAAATAGCTTTAACTGATTTAGATCTTGATGATTTCCTAGTCAAAATATCCCAAAAGAGTATAAAACCATACTAATGTACACTTATTCGGAATTATTACTGTTTAGGTAGGTACTGTTGTACACCATAGGTACTATTTACAAAAGACCAAATAAGTATCTCCGACTTTTTTATTGAGCCGTTAATATAAAGTTAAAGCCTAAATGAAGACGTCTGATAATTACAATAATTAAAAGAATAACTTTTCATTAACTAGTATGTATTTCGTTGTTTCACTTTTATTTCATTTAGCGCCATCTAGTTTGAGCTCATCACAATTAGTTCCTCATGTGAAAACGAGGCGACAAAGACTTCTTGATGATCTTATTAGTAGTTTAGTTTTCTCGTTTCTTCTATATTTACAGTAAAAATTATTTACTTTATTGACATCTTTGTCTCTCTTCGGTATAAAAATGCACCAGTTATCATTAACAGAACCTGCAACAGAAAAAATAATGTTATTTTATCCTTTTGATGGGGGTGGTACTTACAAAGATTCCATTAAAAGAATGTAAATACTTATTTAAGGCACAACTAAGTTCTAGTTCTAACCACTAACCAAAGTATATCTCGTGACAAAAATAGTTATAGTAAGCGACGTTAGCACCAATAGATGGCGCTAGCGTCGCGTAGCTAACTAAACGGTATACCTCAACTACAATAAGTAAAACTGCTACAGCGAACACCATTGATGAAGTTTCCTTAAAAACACTAAGAACAAGGTCCTTGCACCCATCTGTGTAGTAAGACTTCTTAACTTTGCAGAGTTCTCTATCCTTTTCTTGCACAAGATCCGACCTTGAGGAGTCGTAAGTTGGACAGCATGAGATGGGGACGTTCGGTGGAAAGTAGTAAGGTATCTTCGAATGTCGGTAGTCTTCCGGACCGTAGACCCCGCAACAATTTAACTGGAAAGGAGAAAATTTGCTTTAACTACAGAAGTTTTAAGTGAGGGAGAGTCATGCTTCCGCACGAATGTGCTGGCACCTGCCCATATCTGAGGCGCATATACTGCTCATGAATATGGGCTCTAGCATGGCTTGAAACTAGTCGAGTATCTCGTCAAATTATTACGTGAGTAAGCCGAAAACATAATTATTAATTTAGAATGTCTCACGAAAGTTATAATAAAAATATTATTATAATTTAGGTTATAGTTTTTGCGGCTTTACTTTTGTTTAGCGTGTGTTGAAAATTAAGGCCTACAAAACTTCTTTATAAACAAATATTCTAAACTTTTCCGTTAAACTATTTGGTGAACTTAGGTACTCGTGAGCAAGCAACATAAAACTGTCTATGAGAGAAGCAATGTTCTCTCAAGTCAATACCCGCAAATTTGAGAGATTGCCCCTTTTTTTGTGAGGGGAAAATCATCAAATGACTTCTCCCGCCCAGGACCGGGCGGGAGGGAGTGTCAGAATCTTACTGACTAAAAACCGCCCTGATCCTTCTCTTGCTCTGGGCCGAGGTCACAGTGCCCCATTGTGCTTACCCTGCAACCCCGGCTGAACTTCAGCACTATAGGGTCCCGTCTGTGGTTGTCTATGTGGTGGCCCGGGGGTTAAGGAGCCCGCTTCTCATGCATGAGGGGTGGGTTCGAAACCTGGCAAGTACCAATGTGACTTTTTCCGAGTTATATGTACTTTCTATGATTATTTAGACACCACTGACATACGGTGAAGGTAAACACGTGAGGAAACCTGGACTTACAATTTCTAATTTTAAGTTTGGAATCACCAACCCGCATTGAGCAAGCGTGGTGATTAATGCTCTAACCTTTTCCGTGTGAGAAGAGGCCTTTGCTCAGCAGTGGGCACTTATAGGCTGATGATGATGATTAAAATCAATACTTATTAGAGGCACATGGCTTGTGCAGCTTTGAAAAAATGTGATGTATAATTTATTGAGACTTACATCTGATTGAGTCATCGCCCACATCTTCACGTGCCTCGAGTTTTCCTCTCGCGCCAGCTTGAAGGATTCTATCAATGACTTAAGGAGCTTAGCTTCATCGTCTGGTTCCACATTGACTGCTATGCCAGCAATTAATGCCTGCACTACGGCGAGGAGCAGCAGCACCACCGCTGCCTGAAATACGAGTACTTTTATTAACAGCTCCAGAATTAAGTTTTAACCTTATCACCATACATATTATGCTTATTGCCCTGATAACTGATTTCCCACCTAATCCTAAAGTTGACTGGCGGAGAATGCCATAATTATGTGTCCATTTCAGTATATACAAATACTTATATATATTTTTTAGATTTGTAGTCTTTTTTTTGCTGATGGAAAAGGATCAAATGACTTGTCTCGACCTAGGTGGTCTGAGAGGAAGTGTCTGACTCTTACTGGCTGAAACCCCGTTTTATCTCCTGCTCCATTCTACGAAAGGCCGGTGTACAAACCGCGCTTGATCCATAACCCTTTTAAATAATCATAGAAAGTACATATAACTCGGAAAAAGTCATATTGGTACTTGCCAGGTTTTAAACCCTTACCCTCATGCATGAGAAGCTGGCTCTTTAACCTCCGGGCCACCACGACCTCTACCTCCGGGCCACCACGTCCTCTGTGGTAGCTGGTGGTACCATTTGTGACTCTTGGACCAATGTTATTTGTAAATCAGGAGTGCTAGGTTACAATTAGCATGTCGAGTTCGCGTGATATGCCAACAGTTTTCCATTGAACTTGAATATATTATGGACGTCAAGGGCAAAGGCAGCGGTGCCCTTGTAAACCATGCTTGGTTCCTTTTTTCTTCTTTAGTCACACGCTATTTACTTGCAAGACTTGCCTTTTTTTAAAGCTATACAGCGGTAAAGCAGAACACTAAAGGTGTATAAAGTGTTGGAGATTTGAGAAAAAAGTGTGGAAGAGCCATCTTTAGGTCTAGGTCTAGGTCGGCTCGACCGGAGCGATGCCACGGCCTAGCAAAAAACCGACGTGAAACAACCACAGCGTTGTGTTTCGCCGTGTGAGTGAGGTTACCGGAGGCCCAATCCTTACCCTTCCCGGACCCTTCCCCAATCCCTAAATCTCCAAATCCCTAATCCCTAAAAGGTCGGCAACGCACTCGTAACTCCTCCGTTGCGGGTGTCCATTGATTGCTTACCATCAGGTAATCCGTCTGCTAGTTTGCCGACTTATTACATTAAAAAAAAAGAACGGGGTGGGTCTAAATGATCCCCCCTACCTCTACCAGAAAAAGGGAATGACATTACAAAAATAACTTATAACGTTACTAGCAGACCCAGTCACGCGTTGCTATGGCTAAGGTAAATAATATTGTGACTATAAATTGAGATGTAAGCTATCCTATCTTTGAAGTTGGATCAAAATGCACACGGAATGCAAATCAAATTTAAAATCGGTTTTGTAGTTTAGGAGTCCATCGCGGAAAAACACGTGACACGAAATTTTTATACTTAGTAAAGAATTTGTACAACTATCTAAACTAACATACATAATATTATTAAGAGAATAGTGATAAAATTTGTAAGTTTGTACGTAAGGGGGTAATCTTTGGAATTCTGGTCGGATTTCCGAAATTCTTTCACGGATAGATAGCTACAATGTGCCTGAGTGCTAGAGGTTTATCATAAATTATACTATGATTTGCGTATTTTAGTAGAGCTATCGCGTCAAACGCTGCTGTTTTTAAAATTAACGCGTGCGAAACCGCGGGCGGTAGATATAGTTTATTTAATATAATAAATTGTTATGTAATGCAATGAGATTAGTTCCACGAGTAAAAATAAATAAATATAAATAGGCAGGTTAGTATATGTTTTGTATGTAGGTGTAAACAATTTACGACTTATTGTAAGCCACACACTGCGTATTGTTCATATTATCAGCGACTTATAAATAACTATACCTACATAATACTTTTATTTTTATTGCGATTCAATAGGAACGAGTACTTTAATCCTTCTAATATTACAAATGAGAAAATTTGTGAGAATGCAGTATTTGACCCCAATAATTTATAATAAAATAGCGTTCATAAGAAATAACAGTGATACCCTAAGCACTTTATCCTTAAAGAAAAGACTAAAAACGGAATTTTTAAATATGCTAAACACATAAGTATTAAAATTAATTGTATTGTATTAGATATAGAAAATAAATAAATTAAAGATATCTTTTATGTACCTAATTATTAACAATAGTAATAAATAACAATTGTAAAACATAAGAGCGCCACTATCGCCAACAAACTGTCTTACAGTTTGGCGATTTTTGATGTAAGTTAGTAATGTAAAACTATTTTGAGAATAAATAAAAAAAAATATATATGTATGTTTTTCTTTCACTCAAAAACGGCTAGACTGATTTAACTGAAATTTGGTTTAGCAGATAGGTTACCGTACCGCTGAGGCGCATTGAGACCCGAGCCGTGAGGCGAGGATCTAAACGAGCTGAGTACTATTTTTTCATTTATTTTATCCTTATTTTCACGTTGTACAATAATTTATAAATACGTACCCATCGCTTCTGGTTAGTACTGATACTAAAAGTTTAAGGAGTGTTGATTAATAAAACATTACAATATTGTTTTACAGTGCAGCCGACGTATCTTGGCGAGTCTTAAGTTAGCCGATTAGCTGCGCAGTACACAATTTTGTTCCTAAAAGATCCATTGCGCAGACAAACGGCTAACTTCAGACTCGCCAAGATACCTACGTCGGCCGCACTGTAAGTTGTTCTTCCCTTTTCAATGGTTGGAATAAGCACGTAACTCGATCTTCGTAAATAGTTGAGTGATTTGAAGTATAGAATAATATCAAATATAATAAATATTAAGATTTGGATAAAGCTACGTGTACAACTAATAGGGGTTTATTATTTTTATTTAATAGGTACTAAGTTTTATTTAACTTACAATATATGTTTGTAAGTACGTATGTAAGGCACAGGGGACAAGTCTATAAAAGGGCGATGCTTTTAAAAATATAAAATAATAATAATAATTACCACATTGACAGATTTGGAATGTCTTTTGAAGACAGCGACTTCTCCATAGATGATGGTGCATATTGTTATTGCTGCTAAGACCGAAATGAAAACCATGTTCGCTATTCGGCTGGATTGCTCAGCATCATACGCCTTCGTCGCTATTGAAGTTAATATCGCTAAAGTTATCAGTGATACAGAAGCTACCTGGAACAAGGGATAGATTTTAGAACAAGCTAAGTGTCCTTAAGAACTGAAGCCTGGGCGGTGTCATAGCTGAAACGGGTCAGGCTCGAACTGACTAAAACCATATCATCTGTACATCTGGCTTAACCAGGAAAGTCATCCCTGAGTCACGGATGGCCAGACTGCCATTTTTGGCGGACAATATTTCCCCTGCCCCATTTTCCCCAATCCATAAATATCTGAAGTCCAAAAGCCCGGCAACGAACTCGTAACTCCTTAGGTACTGCGGTTGTCCATGGGCGACGCCGATTGCTTCCCATCAGCAAATCCCATCTCTTAAGAAACCCTACACGCGATTTAAATAGGGAAAGACCTTCTTTTTCTACGTATCTGTAGATCCATGTTCTACTTATTAAAGTTATATCGACTATACATACCTCAATTAATACACCCACGTGTTAAAGTGTTTTAAGACAACGCCACCATGCACGTCAGACTTCAAGACGAGACCACGAAACTAATCCATGGTTAAAGGCGAAAGTGGTAAGTCAGGGAACCAGAATATCAGTCTGTCTGTCAGCGAAGCTAGGCCATTGGATCATCCCAAAATGTAAACTCCATAAGAAGACCAAGATATACAAACTGCGTGTTTTGTTCGTGATAAGAAAAGGTATAAACGGATGTTCATTGACGAATTTCCACAATTTGGATTTTTTATAATAACTATCGTGAGACATACTAAATTAACTAAAATTCGCGGGTTACTCACGTGTAAATGATGAGAAAAGCTCTACTAGTTTCGAACCACAGAGGGGTTCTTCCTCATGAGCAGCGTGCGCGGACGCGGCGACGTCGCGCAGCCTACTCTAGTAGGCTAGTACTCTAGTAGGTAGGTAGTAGAGCTTTTCTCATCATTTACACGTGAGTAACCCGCGAATTTTAGTTAATTTGGATTTTATCGGGTTAAGAAACCCAACGTACGCCATTTCTTCCTAGATGACTTTAAGTCTCTCTAATAGACCAGAAGGATGAGACCAGTTCCCTGTATTTTTGGTGTTGTTTTGTCTGTTTTGGTAGCTAAATACAAGCCAAATACAACAATAAATATATAGACCAAAAATAATGTCGAATTTGCGAATGCTTCTTTAATCCTTACCTGATGCAATGACACTTTTAAATCATAAATGTTAATAGGACTTACCCCTCCAACTATGCCTAGGATCACGAATAGGGCTCTAAGGCAATAATTTTGGCAATGACCTGTGTTTTTCATTTCATGATCATCAGTTTTTTCATCTTGTTTCTCGTTCACACCAGTTTCAGCTGAATTATCTTTGAGATCTGACTCGCTTCCTGACGGTCAAAACATTAGTTGGTAATTTTTGGATTGAAAAAATGTAATAATGAATTTATTTTTGCAAAAATGCCGTAAAACGTCGCTTTTGGATGAGGTCGAAGATTGAATTACTATTGTAGGTAAATCAAAGTAATAAATGATTATTGTTTAATTCAATATCTTCCTACAAATCCTATAATTTAAAAATTTGTTTGTTTGTCATTCTTAAGCAATACCAAAAATGCATTATTTCCTTTGTACATGCGTGCAAAATTTTATTCTAGACTAAGATCCTTATCGCTAAGACGACATGATAAAACTCTTACTGTGCGAAAGAGTAGACACAATAGTTAAAGATAAGCAATGATATTGATATTGAAGGATATTTGATTTATCGAACAGAGAAGTGGTTAATAATAATAATTATTCCTAAAAAAATGTAGTTTAAACTTAAGATTTGATAAAAACCGTTAGGTACCATTTTCTATTAACTCGATTCTCCATACCTTTTTAATAAGAATCTGATTGAACAGTCTAATGGGTATCTTAAAATTGTGTTCTATTAAGTCTTTTACAATTTTTTCCATAAATGGAAGATTCAACTTACCTTCCCTTTCAGACGTTGCCATGTCTTCCCAAATGATGGGACACTCGTCAAAACTGAGCCGCACATCCGTTGTACCTGTATTTATAGGGCAATAACAATACAACATGGCCGAATGGTCGAACGCACGGTTTCATGTACATAATAGAGTGGTTTTATTCACTATACTTTATGTGGCATTATGGAAGATCGTTTGTGTTCTATGGTTGCAAAGTCGCGGTCAAGACTGTGTTTTGGTTAATACTAACTTTGAAACTAGAGTTTTCTGTTTTTTATTGAATAGGAGTCAAACGTGCAGTCAAATCACCTAGTGGTGATTGATCTGCGCCATCCGGGGATATCCGCTACACCAGAGGAGTTCACAGGCACGTTGCCTGTCTTATAAGTTTTAAGGTCGTATTGTTTCCAATGTACCGTCTCAAAAATATCATTCCAAAAATTTATCTGTACAGGGCAGAATCTTTCTTTCCTTTAACTTTGTTCTATGGCGAAAGATGCGTTTTATCCCTTAACGTACAAAATATTTAATTCCTTCCTTTTTTTTTCTTCCTTATCCTATTATACTTTCTATTTACTCAAATGGATGCTCAAAGCGAATTAGCGATATTCCATTTTCTTAAACTATAAGTTATAGTTATAAATCGGCTTTTAACGATATTTTCACTTCATCCTCTGACAGTGAAGTCTAAATAAATACATAAATAAACTTATAAAAAGTAACAGTTATCATGTAAAATTTTACTTTGGAAGACCAGGTATAAATCTGCACCTTTATATTTCACTGGTTAAACGCCAACCCCGGAATTGCGTTATATTATCACAGATTTGTGCATGAGACGCTCATCGGGTTAAAAAGCTGATATCTTGCCATAGTAGCAAAGCAAGCACATTGCCAAGTGGTAAACGTCCTAGAGTGGAGACCACGTCTAGGCAAACGCAGTGTAGGGCGCCCTCCATCTAGGTGGACTGACGACATCCGCAGGATAGCTGGCAGTGGCTGGATGAGAAGACCTAAACATCGAGCTCAGTGGCGTGCAATTGGGGAGGCCTATGTCCAGCAGTGGACGATGTGAGGCTGGTGATGATGCCAAGTGCAGCCCAGCAAGATACAGCCGGTGTTGCGGGGCTAGGGCAATAAGGTATCGCGTCCTTGGCCTGGAGCAGGAGAAGGTACGAGGTTTTTTAGTCAGCAAGAGTCTGACACTCCTTTTCGCCATACAGTAGGCGAGAGAAGTCATTCAAAAAATAAATCCCAGCAAATTTCGTTTAGGTATAAATTATGAGGAATCTGGACATAAAAATATTCTTATCATAAATTTCGTGAGACATACCTACTAAATTAATTATTCTGTTTACGGCTTACTCTCGTAATTGTTTGACGAGATACTCGACTAGTGTCGCGGAAACTAATCGAGTATAATTAATGAAAATATTCGCTATCGTTGGGTCAGTCAGCTGCACATCTTAAAGTATATGTTATGCAAAGACCCCATTTTATGTATATGACCAGTGTTAGCAAGTTCCGCGTTTAGCACAAGAATATGTAAAAAATAGCTCGTTTACAGGCCCTGTTATGACACATGGTCCACGTGTAGTATAAGTACTTATGATCATACTATTACTATACTAATCCCAGATGCATAAAGAAAGATAAAAATCACGTAAAAAGTAACTTGCGAGTTATTGAATCGGGTCGTAAATATGAGATGGTACGTACATAGTCAGTTTGTTCGGGCACGCTACTATAGCAGCGGTAAGACCCCTCTTTGAAGAATGGCTTGAGAGACGCCACGGCGTCCTCACCTTCCGCCTGACGCAGGTCCTTACCGTAGGTTCCTGTTTCGGCTATAGCGGGAGGAAACGCCCGAGTGTCGTCATTGCAAGGACCACCTAGAGGACACGGTGGAGCATACGGTGGCGGTATGTCTTGCCTGGGTTGAGCACCGCTGTGTCCTCAGGGAAATGATCGGCAGCGGCGACCTCTCGCGCCCGGCCTTAGTCGGTGCGGAGCGAGAGGAACTGGGACGCCGTCTCCTCCTTTTGTGAAGCAGTCATGCTCGCAAAGAGAGAGGCGGCCCGCGTGAGGGAGCAATCCTCCTTCTCACGCCACAGCCGCCCCAAGAGGCGACACTACGGGCGTCGGGGATCAAGGGACGACCTCCGGCCACCGTAAGTGCGGGTCTGCGGTCGGCGAGTAAGGGCAGCTCGCCGCCCGAGCGTACGGCGCGTAGCGTTCCACGCGCGCTTTAAGAAGTCAATAGACCACCACAGATGGTGCCCTATAGGGCTGATGTTCAGCCGGGGTTGTGTGGTAAGCGCAATGAGGCACCGCGACCTCGGCCCAGAGCAGGAGAAGGAACAGGGGGTTTTTAGTCAGTAAGAGTCTGACACTCCCTCCCGCCCGGCCCTGGGCGGGAGCAGTCATTTGATGATTTTACCCTCACAAAAAAAACGGTCAGTTTGTTCCGTCAAATCCGCTTTTAAGTTTACTAATGTAGGCAAATGTACTTAAGAATACATTCAATCGAAAACAAATTAGTTTATGGTTCCATATTGGAATTTTAAATATCTGGTTGTTCCTTGAGCGGCAGAATGTTTTTTGATATGGGCACAGAGTTTTATCTTCTTCTGGTTTTTATCTATATCTATACTTCTTTAATAATATTATAAAGAGGTAAAATTTGTAAGTTTGTAAACTTACACGTTACACGTTTGTTTTAAATTTTTAATTAGTTTGTTTGGAGGATGACTTTGACTAATAGATAGTTACAATGTATCTGAGTGCTATAGGCTATAAAACACCACGATACGATCAAATGGAGCCGAGCAGCGGGTGAAACCGCTCGAGAATAGCTAGTATTAAATTTTTTTTTAGTTCTATCTTTTAGTTTTATATTATATATCGACTTTATCAAAACACGTGACTATAATTGGTACAAAGCATAAACCGGTGAGGATGTTATGGAAGATTTTGCCATCATATATATGACATTAACTACTTTAACTCATCCTATCCTTTCTTGAAAACAGTTTAGTCGGTTTGTATAAAACAATAAAGTATTTAAAATTAACAAAGATAATAAAGTTTAACTAATAAAAGCCAAATTTAACATTTCGCTTACCCGTAGACGAATAAGTTAATGGTAAATATTTAAGAAATTTCTTCTATACACCGAAACGAACACCGAAACATCAAAACGTCACTAAAATTTCAACATCACATCTTTATCTTTAAATATATTTATGTATTCTTCGGAAATGTTGTACTGGATAGTTTTTTTTTCTATATTTATGACCTTATGTGGTTACACTTGAAGTGTAGATGTTCACTGTTGCTTCTCAAAGCAGTGACTTCCTCCACTTTATTAGCATATCTCCGAATGTCAGAGAGTGCTAATTTTATTATTCATCAGCCATGATAATAAACATTGTTGTAGATATATTGAATTTGTCGATACTCCAATAATAATATACTTACAAAGGCCTTTGTTTTATTATTTTTTTGAGGTTTGGTTGTATGAACATTTTTAGTACCTAGTGTAGGGCCCAGATAAACATACTGATTTCATTTAGTTGTTCCCAGCCTATCTGTCGTTTTTTGTATGTTTAGTCTGTGCCTTCTTTTAAGGGGGCAAAAAAATTGTCAAATGACTTCTGCCACCCTAGGTGGGTTTTACCCCGCAACCGCAGCTGAACACCAGCCCAATAGGACCTCGTCTGTGGTGGTCTATTGGCTCCTTAGGGCGCGCGCGGAACGCTACGCGCCGTCCGTTCGGGTCTGGATCTGGTTGGGCGGCGAGCTACCCTTACTCGCCGACCGCAGATCCGCGCTTACGGTGGCCGGAGATCATCTCTTGGCACCACCAGGCTAACATAGTGTGTGGATGTCAGTTTTTCTATTGCAAATCAGAGCATATACACTTTGTATCTACTCGTTGCTCGTTGCAAAGTCTAAGTGAGTTGGCGGTGCTTTCACTGGCGCTTAAAGACTACCACTAAATGAGTATGTGTATGAAATCCTGGGGGTTACGTTCTCCCAAATTCGCCCAAGCAATATCTTAGTCCCACAGAGTCTTGGCCAAAATATTGTCTTCATCCAAAGTCGGACTTAAATTAGTGAGATAATCCCACTCGAGTTTTATCTGTCAACTGAGGGAAATGGATCATTTGTGTGTTAACATGCTGAGTGCGAGATAATCATGATTTATTCGACAGATAGTTTCGTTCATTGAGTTTCGGATTTTTTTTTCTATCTATTAGGACGCTTAACGATCAGACGGATTACTTGATGGTAAGTAATCAGCATTACCCATAGACATCCGCGATAATATGTTACGAGTAAGCATAGTGCCAGCTTTTTGGGGATTAGAATTTTGGATATAATTAGGGATGGGGGAAGGGAAAAGATTGGGCCTCCATTAACCTCACTCCCATGGCAAAACACAACGCTATGGTTGTGCCATGCCGGTTTACTATGAGGCCGTGGTATCACTCCGGTCGAGCCGACCCTTTCGTGCATTGCCCTCCCACACATATGGAGGCAAACGAGCAGAGTTACGAGTGCATTGCCGACCTCTTGAGGATTAGGGTTTTAGAGATTTAGGGGTTGCGGCGTGGGAGCGATTCGGCCTTCGGTAACCTCACTTACACGGTGAAATACAATATTGTTTTTTATCGTGGCTTTAATAATAGTGAGCTGAATGCAGTTTTAATAAGTGCACTTTGTGAGTACGAAGAGAGACAAGAGGACACAAACTCTTTGTGTTCGATTTTTAACTAAATTCTAAGTAGCAGCGCGACAGTCTTGGCTGTCCAGGCTTGAAACTAGTCGAGTAACTCGTCAAACAATTACGTGAGTAAGCCGAAAACATAATAATTAAATTCTAAGTAGGTATGAAGTATTAAATTTTGCATTATCTAGCAAAAAGCTCAATCACCAATTCCTTTTTTATCGTCGTAATAGTCATAATCAACTACCTATGTGTACCTTAACACATTTGAACGATACATAGAATATATAGCTAT